CGGAGAGCTGTTCCCAATTCACCAACCAAATCCCGATGAGGCCCCACATCCTTGGAGTTCCAGTTCCAAGACACAGGACTCGGCCAGTTTGTGAAGCCTTCATGATGCTTTGTCGTCAAAACTACATACCTGTGGACAGCAAAACCACATGAGCAAAGGAAGTGGGCAGTGAACTTCCATGAACTTGTCAGGCACGCCTGAGGCTTTTTAAATGGCTGAAAGAACTTGACCACAACAAATGTACTTGTACCAGTGACTATATTAGTGATATCCAGGAAGCTGCTGCAGTCACAATTCCCCTTGGGCATTGCTCCAGGAATGGAAGCAGATTTGAGGAAGTCCCAACCCTCAGTCCCCAGTGAAGGAGGAGGCCCAGAGGGAAGGAAGAAGTAGGTAAGGGAAAAGAAGTGCACCTTAACTCTGTGATTCTTCAACACTTCTGGTAGGAATGATTAACTTTCTTTCACTCTTTGCCCTGAAGGAGAAAGATCTCTACTGGAAATGGCAGATGACAGAAAACTAAGCCATTTGCTGGCCAGGCATGGTGGCTCACACTTATAATCCCAGCACTTTGGGAGGCCAAGGCGGGCGGATTACCTGAGGTCAGGGGTTCAAGACCAATCTGGCCAACATGGCGAAAACCCATCTCTACTAAAAATACAAAAATTAGCTGGGTATGGTGGTGTGTGCCTGTAGTCCCAGGTACTTGAGAGGCTGGAGCACAAGAATTACTTGAGCCTGGGAGACGGAGGTTGCAGTGAGCCGAGATCGTGCAACTGTACTCCAGCCTGGGCTACAGAGCAAAACTGTTTCAAAACAACAACAACAACAACAACAACAACAACAAATAAGAAAACAGAAAACTAAGCTGTTTGGTTTACCAAGCCTACATAAATTGCCTCTCATTTATTATAGAGGTAACAAAAGACCCAATAACTGGGAGAAAAGGTAAGTGTTGAAATAACAAGCAAATCACTCAATATTTAATTTGCTTTTATGGCAGAAAAACAGGTAATACCTGCACTTTATGATTCAATCACTGGCCAGAGTAGGGAACTCCAGGACTTGAAGGACCAAGTCCTTTTAGGCTCTGTGGGGCACATTCCTCTCTGTAGTGTATTCTTCTTTAAAAATTTTTACAATCCTTTAAAAATGTAAAAACCATTCTCACTTCATGGGCCTTAAAAAACTGGCAGAGTCTGGGCGCGGTGGCTCACGCCTGCAATCCCAGCACTTTGGGAGGCCGAGGCGGGCAGATCACAAGGTCAGAAGTTTGAGACCAGCCTGGCCAACATGGTGAACCCTGTCTCCACTAAAAATACAAAAATTAGCTGGGTGTAGTGGTGCGTGCCTGTGATCTCAGCTACTCAGGAGGCTGAGGCAGGAGAATGGCATGAATCCAGGGGGCGGAGCTTGCACTGAGCGGAGATAGCAGCCTGGGCGACAGAGCGAGACTCCGTCCCAAAAAACAAACAAAAAACCAAAAAACAAAACAAATAAACGAACAAACAAACAAACAAAAAATGGCAGAGGACCAATCCCGCTGACCAGTTTGCAGACCCTGGTGCAGTGTAAACAACCTTGATGTCATGAGGCCTGCAGTCTAGGACATCGTATTTCTTCCTCTCTTTGGGCCAGTCACCTCATCCATGAAATAAAAGGCAGGGAAAGAGGCTATCTCCCAGATTTTAATTTTTCTCACTTATAAGTTATGGATCTCTAAGGTCCTAGGAGACAAACACGTCCTCTGCTTAATCAAGTCTTATACTCCCATACATTTAATGGCAAACACTAAATGCCAGTTATAATTTCTGTTTTGTACAAGAGAATCCAAAGTTCAAGAGAAACGAAAACCCGGAAGATAGCTTAGGAACCAAGATAAGGATGGAAGACTGCTCTAAGCCAGGGGCTGGGGAAACCTCCCCGCCTCCATTCTTACTCTTTTCCAACCCACTTCTCTCCCAGCAGCCGAATGAATCTCTCTAGAAGCTGAGAGTAACCACTCCCTGACTTAACACCTGGAAATACAGGGCTCTCAAGGCTCACTCCTTCAGGATAAGCCCCTGCCTTGACAACTTCTTGCGTCCTGGTCTCCCCTTATCCCCACCCCAGTGCTCTCTACTCTGTTGTCTGAACCAGCCACCCCCAAGTTCCAACAGTTCTCAGAGTCAAACCTTTCTTGGGCACTTCCTACGTACAAGGGATTGAGAGGAGCAAACGAATGACTATCTGTACTGTTGCCCAAATACACTGCACACCAGAACTCCCCTCTCTTTTCCTCTTAGAGACATTAGGACTGAAAGGAAAGGATACAACCCTTCTATAACCATCGAAGAGGCTGCAAGGAGGCTGAAGTGACTTGTCCAGGTTCACAGTTGAATTAGAACCAGGCTCCACACCACTGATTTGAAACCCTGGAGTCCTGATAGGGCTGCCAATCTGAAAGGGACATCAGTGGCCTAA